GCCAGCTGCCGCCCCCCCGGGCAAGGGACTGGGTCCCGACACGGCTTGAGAAAGCCGTGTCTGCCCCCACCCCGCCGCCCTCAAAGCCCCTGACTTCGAGGGGCTGTGATTTGCGGAGCAGATCCTCCTCCGGACGGAGAGCAGTCCTGCTCTCCTCTTCCCGAGTTGGGTGCAAGCGGAGAGCAGGGCTTTCGGAGATGCTGTGCTGCCGCTGAATTTCATCCTGGAGTCGGCTCTGAGACATGAAGCCTCTCCCGGTGTCATCCCCTCCCCAAGACCCCAAGAATGAATCTAGCTGTTGGGATGCACCTTGCAGGGTCTCCCTTGGTGTCCAAGCCCCACCATAAATTGGCCGTGATGGTGACGTTCAAAGTCCCTGTGTTTTAATACATGTGTGATGGTAGTTCAAAGTAAGCCCCACCATCCGAATGAATAGAGGAAAGGATCTGAAATGTGTGGGAATGTGGAAAGGCAGGAGGAGCCTTATGAGCAGCAGTGTTTTCAGGCAGGTTGCTTCAACATTGAATGTGCCAGTGACATAAAGGAGTAAACGCGTTCACTTGGGGCAGAGATACTGGGAGATAAAAAGGAGTGATACCACAAAGTGTCCAAGAGAACAAAGAGAATAATAAAGGACATTCTGAAGGAAATCGTGAAACCATGGTTTCTTTAAGTTTTTCCATTAACACGATTCCTTTTCCTCATCCTAAAAATTTGGAAAGCTCAGAGAAGCCATTTTAGAAAACACCCAAACACCCCTCATCTTTCAGCCGTGAAAAGGTCTGGGTTTTATTCGTTCTCCCTACAGTACAACAAAGCACCTCTATGTTGTAGATTTCCAAGTTGACTTGCAGAAAACAAGCCCAAGAACATCCTTTCATTACTGGGCACAACTCCTGCCTTACAGCACAATTTCTTCATAAACGGCATGTCAAGTGATAACTTACGTTGTCTTAATTTCAGGGAAGAATAAGTGTGGGAGGAGAAGTACACACACTGGACAGAGGTTTCTAAGTCGGTGCAATGGCTTGGTTTTCAGATTAAAAGTTTGTAATGGACCATGATTGTCATCTGAACTTGTCCTCCTGAAAGTTGTTGTCATGGTTTCAGCTGGTATGGAGTTAACTTTCTTGCTAGCAGCTGGTATGGGGCTGTGTTTTGGATTTGGAATGAGAGCGGTGTTGATGGTGCACTGGTGTTTTTGGTTGTTGCTAAGCAGTAAAGGTCTTTTCTGCTCCTTGCACCGCCCCACCAGCGAGTAGGCTGGGGGTGCACAAGAATTTGGGAGGCAACACAGCCAGGACAGATGACTCCAACTGACCAAAGGGATATTCCATACCACACAACGTCATGCTCGGTGTATAGATCTGGGGGAAGAAGAAGGAATGGGCGGACATTTGGAGTGATGGCATTTGTCTTCCCAAGTAACCATTATGCGTGGTGGAGCCCTGCTGTCCTGCAGATGGCCGAACACCTGCCTGCTGATGGTGTTCTGCAATCAGAAGTGTTTTTCACTCTTCTGATTCTCTCCTATATCCCAGCTCAGGGGAGTGAGCGAGCGGCTGTGTGGTCCTAGTTGCTGGTTGGGGTTAAACCACGACAGCTGTCTAGTAAAATCCATGTTGAGCCTCTCACCTGTTGCTGAGTGGGCTGAAACAGGAATAATTTGGACTCTGTTAGGAATACCCTCCATCTTGACAGAAAGACTTAAAAATCAAAATCTTCCTGTTAGATTTCAGCTCAAGTTAACTTCTGCTTTTTTAAATGTGCAGGATTTTTCAGGGTGAGCAACGACTGTAGCTTCTCAGCTCATTTTCTGGAGTGAGAATTTGCTGCTTGTTTCCATCTGCTGTTATTCAGATACACAGCTTTTATGTCTTCACATTAGAACGAATAACGCCTTTTTCACCCCTCTGCTAAATTCTGGATGAAAGAAAATGATTAACCTTCAACCAGTCTGTCCCACATAGCTGAAATGTTGTAAAGGTTATGTTATGAGTAGGGCTATGTTGGTAAGCAATGCCATGAAACTCACCATTGCTGCTCCCTGACCTTCCTTCACCTCACCTCGTACATTTGAATAGTCTTTAAGATTTCCTGTTGGGTTGGAAATTGGTCTTTTGCTGAAAAACAAACTATGTTGCTTGGGAATGGCAATTAGCTGTAGCTGTATTTATCAAGTCCTTCAGAGAAAGGAAAACTGCATCAGTAGATGACACAGAAATGTAAATATCATTAGTAGCATCAGTGGAGGGGAAAAAATACTGTAGGAACTGCAGTACATGTCAGAAGATCTAACAGGAATAAAAACGGCCCTTCAAATTTAAGTGACAGGGTTACTGAGATGGAAAGAGAACATCTACTTTGGAACAGAAAGCTGTTAGTGGGCACAAAAATACTTACAGAAAATGTCAGGACAAAGGTGGAACTAAATGCGTCCAATTTGTCCCTTTGTGAGTGGTTTCCAAGACTAACAGTATGAAGATTGTATGCTTCCTGGGGGGCATAGAAAAGGGAAACCAACCACCCTATTCCAGAAAAGCATGCCACAATTGTTTAAATTGTCTTTCCAAGCTAGAAATCAAGAGATCAGCTAGTGTCCACTTACACAATTGAGCAACAGTGCAAATGGGTAAATTTTCTATCCTGTTCATAACTAGTGAAATAAAATGGCTCCTTTGAGGTAAAGCATGTTTCCATTGTGCTGCCTTACACAAAAGGTTTGGATTAGCTAGCACAATGACTGAAAATCCAGAGTATTAACTGAACAGATGACGATGGTGATTAATGATTTTTATTGCTATTAGCCATAGCTTAGACTGTTCACTCAAAGCAAAACTGGAGCTGAACTTAGGGAAATTGGTGGTGTGGAAGCTGGAAAACTGCAAATTAGAGCTGACTTCAAATTGAAAATAAAGATTTTAAATAAAGAGCTAATTCAAAGTGCAGTGACTATTGTCGTGTTAATCATGGAATACGTCGCGGGTGCCCAAAATTGTTTAGCCCCCTTTTTTATCATCTTGATTTATCAAATGTAAAATATTTAAATTTGAATGTTCCCGAATGAGTAAATCACTGTTGACCGTTAGTTAGGAAGCTGGGAACTTTAACATGTCAAAGACCTGAGAGCCATCAGCAGCCCTGGTCTCGTGGTGGTCTGAGCCCAGTGCATCTATACAGGAAGAACTTGTCCTTCCGAAAGGGTCAGATCCCTCAGATAGGTATGACCCCATCTTCTTTTTCATCTCCACTACTTGTAGCACTTGCCAGCTCAACAATGCAAATGTCCTCTAGCCTGCAGGTCCTGACCAGTTGTATTGATGCTAAAATATCAAGAATCAGACAATCTGGGTTGTTAGTGTTTGAACTTGAAGTAATGTTTTAGCTCAATGGTAGGCTGTTTCTTAATTACCATAGGGCAACTAAAACAGCGATCTAGATAAACAACTTTGCATGTGCTACATCATTTCTGGTTTTATGTAGGTTTGATGGTACAGATCAAAAAAGAATGGAGCAAGATGGATGCAGTGAAAAGGGTACCAGTTGAGTGACACTTAGATAAATTTTCCTGACACTTCTTTCTTAAACCCTTCTCTGAATCTTCTGTTTTGCAGATCTGATTGTCCGCTTCAGTCAGTGGCTTTGTGTAAAAGCAAAGCCTTTCTCTGACCAGGCTGTACTATAAAACACATGGTGTGTACGTAGCGTGTGTAGCATATTTTTTAGCATCCTAAAGGGAGACGCATCTGGGAGGTGGAGTTTTGAATTAATACATTACAAGTGACAGCTGGCCTGTCTATAACATTTCAGCCATACCACACCAAGACTCCACAAGTCTTTAGCAACATCACGGTGGAATGAGACTCTCCTTTCCACCTTCCAAGCTCTGTGGCAATGCTAAAATTTGACACAACTTGATACTGCTTCTGAGTGTGGGATCATTTAAGTCCTACCTATAATTTGGACATGAAACACAGGACTTGTTTTGCTGAGAAGTTCTGTGTGGGTTGGGATGCTCAAGTTTCAAGCTTTTACAGCAATGCTTTTGTGCACACATTTGAGCTGCCCCATTAGCTTGAGTAGACAGACTACTGTCATTCCGCTGAGGTCACTGGCACTTCAAACCTGCTCAAGAGCTGCTTCACAAAGTCCTTCCAGTCTGCTATCTATAGCAAGTACTCCTTGTTGAAGGTGGGTGCTGAATGCCACCTCCGTCTCCAACCCTTCTTTAACATTGGGTTTTCTTGGCCACATCAACAAAAGAAAATACTTACTAATTTCTTTGTGCTGTGCAAATGTATGCTGTGATCCTCATACGCCTCAATTTACAGATTTTTTTTTCCCATTTGTAAAAGCTTTGTTCACCCAGCTCCACATACCAGAATTACCTAATTTACATTTCTTAGGGGATCTGTCTAACTAGACCCTATGGCTCTTCCATCCCTCCTAACCACTGTCAAAGCCCCAGGTAGTTCTCTGTCTCTTCATGTCCTCAAGTACAAGTTCACCTGAGGGAGGATTTTTAGACCTT